GCCTACGATTTCCTCTACACCTATCCTGAGCTACAGTTTCGTAGCCATTAGAAACGGCTATTTGCCGTGCCAAGTTCCGGGACTCCTCTCTCTGCTCTCTTCCCGTGCACACGTTGGTTGCTGTTGAAACATGTTTCTTATAAGCGCCCTTTTCATGTGAGAGGGGTGAGAGGAGAGGTAATGAACCAAGATATTTTTACAACTTGGCTTTCGGTACCACTTTGTAATGTAGCCATTTTCTGATAGGTGAATTTGTACGTTCAAAAATGGAAGCCATTTTTCATTCGGCTTTTCTCGGGTGAACTTGATATACTCTGACTGTGCGTTTAACAATTCGAAACATTTGTCCATTTCCTCTTGTGTTGAGCAAAGGACAAAGCAGTCGTCTACATACCTACAGTAGAGTAGCGGCCCGAGATCAGTCACCGGTGCTTCCACCTTCCGAGATCAGTCACCGGTGCTTCCAGAAAGCGGTGAGTGTGCAAAGCTGTGTTCAAAGTGATTGAAATCTTGGTTTGGGGTTTCTTTGTTTGGTTATGGAGGCGTCTGGCCGAGTGAGTTGCTATCAACTTGACCTTTCCAGGCTCTGAAGAAGGCGAAATTCGCCGAAACGTCAGCTTAATCGTGAACAAAGAACAATAACACCTCGCGTTTGCTCAAAAATACGAACAAAATCACTTCATCAATGCCGAGGTTAATAGAAAGTCGGTCGTGGCAGTTACTTAAATGTGAGAAATATGAAGAGGAACATAAAAACAAGAAAATTTACTAACCGGATACGCTTTGCATCCGTAGATGATGGACCATACTGCCCAATCAATTCATCTAAACTTTCTCCTTTCAGGAGTTTAACAACCGCACAATCGATGGAAAACGATGGTAGAATACAAGACGATGGACAAGGAATCCTGTAGACATAATGAACGAAACAGAGGTTGCGATGTTCATAGATGTAGGTCAAATAAAGCACCTTATCGCCTCTTCAACGTTATTCATTCCCAAAAACGCTCTTATTTTCAAACATGATGCTACATCTTGACAACGACTATCAATCTTTCGTGATTGTATCCAATTCAAAACCTGAAAAAAATCTACTCAAAAACTTGTACACGAATCAGGAAATAAATTTTTGATTCGGTTATTCAGTCCGAGGAAAGAAGTTCTGTGAAACAAGAACACAACCATAGAATAAAGTAGTTAATGCCTTAAAGAATGATTTTCGCATAAGCATAAGCTATTCCAAGGACCACTTTTTGCACTCTTTTTATCTACATTTTTTATAGGAGAAGTTGAAAAACCACTCTTCTCTATGTGTTACTTATCAGAAAAACAAGTTTTAATGCAGTAAACACAGAAAAAACACAAGATGATTTGAAAGCTAGCCAAAATGAAGGATAAAAAGAATAAAGCTCTCGCCGTTGATCAATCCCTGAGGGATGTGCCATGCATTCGACTTCATTAAGCATCGCTGGAGGTGATTGAAGGCATATCTGGCCTTTATAATAACTCGCGGTGGCCTACCGATGTATCGAGTCAGTGCTGCTATCCTCCCAGACAAGTTTAGTACCAATCTGCCGACCCCGTAGGTATGGAAAGTTTGGTGTGCTGTGGGTGCGGGTATCAACCCAAAATGAAGATGTCAAGTAAATTTCATAGGATGAAATTGCACTATTGATAGAAAACAAAGAAAAACACTTGCCTGAATAGTTTGCTCCCAATTCTCCACCTCAGCTAGTAAGTGTACAGAAATAAGGGAGAGAGGTAAAAACGTAAGTAGCGAATCCGTGGAACCATCAACAATGTCTAATGCACTTGATATGTCATTTTCTCTGAACAACGACAGACACTGTATCGAAACACACTCGAGTCGTTTAATAAAACTACCATCTTTGGAATTGATAGTTACATCCTACCACAACGCACCTTAGAAAACTTATTAACTGACTAGTTCTCTCCTCCATATCACCTAGTGAAACTTTGCTCTGGTTATACAAAGTTGCAATTTCAGCGTTTATCTCGAGATAACAAAAGTATTCTAAAACCAATGTTTATCAAAATGCACGAAACATGATATTTGAGCAAAAAAACAGAACTAACCAGTTGAAAGCATGTCCAGAAGTCGTTCTCGAATCCAAACAATATCAGCATAAGAATGGCAATTGCAAAAATCATGAACTGCTTTACGCCATTCTTCATTCCCGTCCTAAAAATGGTGGATTAGAATAAACTGTAACGTAGAAGTACATTTTTGTAAAATTGTATAACCTTGTAAAGAAATTTACAATACAGCAAATTCCATGCAGGATTTAGTGGAAGTAGACCTTTAACTTCGTTAAAGACAACGTTACACTGAAAATTACACCACTGAATAGATTTTCAAAAGTAATAGAACTACTCCATTATGAAAACCGACTATCAATGTCTCTGCTGAAGACATAACTTCCTTTCCTGCTAGTCTTTCGATAATACGTCCATGTAAAACAGAATCTGTACCAAGGTCATTCTAAAAGAATATTCGGTGTAAGTGAGTTAACGAGAGCAGCTCACTACAAATGCACCTGCAGCTGATCATAGTAACCAAGATCAAAGTAGAATCTACGTCGACAATCCTCAATTGCCTGCCGCTTCTCGTCCGAGTCGCTGGAAATAATACTAAGCAAGGTTTGTTTCGATAAATCTAGTAAATAAAATACTTCCTTAAAAAGACCTAAACATTCCATGCATTTCGGAGAATAGAAGAATTGAGACATTTAAAAAATTCGGAATCCCAGGTGGGCTTCGAACCTGCGACTACTCTTTCCGAAGGCTCACGTGTAAACAATCCACAGCACCACTGAGGCCCCCTGTATTACACACAGTACCCTGGCATTGAAAAGTAGACAGGAAATGAAGAATTAAACATTGATAAAGGGATGCTTTTCTAAAAAAACAGTGATGCCTTCTGTATTCCTAAAGCAAGATTTTTTAGTTGTAGTCATATAAAACAACCTCAGTGCAGCAAGACGAGTGCACACTTCGATAGAACGATCGTCAAGGGCTAATTTCGCAGAACTGTACAACTTATACAAGCCCTGCCACGCAATAGGCATTTTAGAGTCCAACAGTATAGCCTGTGAAAGAACAAATACAAAACTATAAAATGTTACGCAAAGAGTTCAGAAGAGTACCTTCTCATACAAAACTTTTGCCCGAGAAATATCATCTAAATTAGCACAAGCCAACGCAGCAAAGCAAAATAGCATGTAGTCTTCAATGCCATCGTCAAGGAGTTCCTGTAGATAAAAATCGTTAGAACAGCACCTAGTCAATACAGGTAAGTACTTAAATTACCTGCATAACATTTAGCGCATCTTGATTTTTACACTCCCCAAGGAGCTTCTTTGCTTGTTTGAGCACCGCTTTAATCTCTACCATTCAACCTACTAGTTTAAGAATATCTAGATGCTTATAACAGATCCCAAGATCGACTTTCTAGTAACCTCGGCATTGGAATACGAACGCGTCGTTTTCTTGTTCAGCAATCGCGAGATTGTTATACAGCATACATTTACTTCCATAGAAAAATACACAATACAATACAACAGTAACTGACGTTCCGGCAGTAATCAGAGCCGCATTCTACGTGACTTCCAGTGGGGAAGATTAGAACAGTTGATTATAGTCGCATATGGTTGATGACTCTCATCATTGATGAGTAAGTATTTCTCAGAGCAAAACTCTCATCACTGATGAGTCATCAACCATATGCGACTATAATCAGTTGTTCTAATCTTCCTCATTGGAAGTCACGTCAAAGCGGCTCTGAAGAAGTCGATACTGCCGAAACGTCAGCTACTGTTGCATTGTATTGTGTTTTCTATGGAAGTAAATGTATGCTGTTTAACAACCTCGCGATTGCTGAACAAAAAAACGGCTTATGACAGAATTCATGATGAAAATATAATGATCGTAAATACGAAGAACAACCACCAAATAAGATTTTCTATGTTTATTTTCAAAGAACACTTTGCCCACAGTATCTAAAGTTATAAAAAACAACTCAAGTTGAATCTCGAACCTACATCAAACTATGCAGACCACATAGTAAGATCGTATGAGCCTAAAAATCTACTCCAATCATAGGTGCAAACTTTCCTGATCCGGATGTTGAGAGTATGCGACCTTGCTGACGATCCCACCACAAAAGATCGCCGTCAAGACAAGCTTCATTAGACTTGTCCTGAAAAATATACGTATACAGTTTAAAAACACTAATTGTAAAGATGTCAAAAAATTTTTATATGTCATATAACAAACGATGAAATAACTGGGGTGGCAAAAAAACGAAAACCTACCACAGGAATAAAGACAAGACGAGTGTATATGTAGAAAAACAAAAATACAGATCCCATATATAGGAAAACTGATCTAGGAGTGAGTCGGAAGAACTCTGCCTGCGTCATGTCAGCCGAGTACCATCGAAACATAGCTGGATCCATGACAACACCCTCCTGTAACATAAGCTACATCATTCGACTTTTACTTTTCAAGTACTCTATTGAGAATGAACGATCGAAATTACAAAAGAATGTGCTATGTGCTAGCTAATACATGATCCACTGCTGCAGGATGCATCGCCACCGTTAAAACACATCGAAATGGATGACAACACATCAACAATAGTCCTCTGCAAGAAGGATCCCGCAGAGTGACGAAATTTCATTACAGCGCTACTCCGCTTAAGCAGATTCTACTCAACAGGCTACGAAGACCTTACGTAGTGAGGACGAACAACTGTGTATTACAAACTTGGATTACGAGATTTTTTCAAGTTGGATGACTCAAATTTGAATTCAAAAGCGAAATGTCCTCAACATGGTGAAGATGTTGTTCAAGACGAAAACTGCTTTCCGTGACTTACTTACCTGGATACGTGGATGGCCCGTTCTCACTGGTTGTGCGGTTCAAAAAATCTGTGCGGACACCAGCATAATCTCCATAAAATGGAGATTTGCTGGTTAAGCCATTATGGTTCCCTGGAGTCCCGAGGTCAGTCTAGCCAAAGTATGCCCCAGGTCGTAACCGCCACAGCTAGTCGCCGCCGTTGTGGATGAAAGGGAGATTCGCCACCATGCAACTAGTTTGGTATCAGGACGGTGACGGATCCTGGTATTGGTTTACCCTTAGCTGTTCCTCTTCTGATAGAAACGCCGGACGTCGAAGACGAGAAACTGGCCAGGCAAAAAAAAACTAACTGTGTTTCGAGAATGGATTACATCAATACGTTACTTGTAAACCGTTGGGAGGTTCTTGTGAGTTACCAAAAAAAAATCTATATTTAACTGTCGGCTTATCAGAGTGGAACCAAAACACCAAAAAATGAAAATAACGCTGGAGGTTAGTTATAATCAAACCTTGTATTTGAAGTTATGCGGATCATATTCACGGCGCAGGTATTCTTTCTTCAATATCTCTTTCACACGATACCGCCAAAGGACTGCTTTCTTTTCATCGTCCGTAAGATTGTACTCTTGTCCAGGAAGGAATTCTGTCTTTCCTGCAATATCAAATTGAAAACCAAAAACAATCTACTAAATCGGTCTAGTCAGAATGAACACACCATGAGTTTCAAAATATCCTAACACAGGATCCTGCCAAAGTTTAGGATTGTTGACATTCTGATTAGCGGCTGGACGAAACAAACGTAGAGCTAGACGCATTCTCTACCTTAACAAGAGAGAACTTCATATCTGAGACTATTTCATATAGCTCAATACTTTCAAATCAGCTGTATGGATAAATCTATGAAGTTGAGGACCACCACTGCCCCATTCTGTGTTCATCGGACGTCTACGAATAGATATTTTATACTGATCATATTCAATGACGTCAACAAATAAAGCGTCAAGACAATTTTTACTCTAACTGTTGTTCATAAGTATATGTAATCAACAAAAAAGTACGGAGCTGTTATCGATTAATATAAGACCCGTAACTATGTCCCTTAAGACATACTGGAATTGGAGCTGTTATTGATTAATACAGGATGTGGAACTATGTCCCTTAAGATATACTTGAACAGAGTTCGAAAAGAGACATCCTATTTTGCTTAATCCTTAACAGCAGAACAACAAAGTAGAGTACAACGGAAACAAAAACTTCTACTCTCACAGAAAAAAAAGCTTACAATAGATTAAAAGGAGGCAAGAAGACAGCTATGCCGATGTAGAGCCTTGTCTGTTATGAAAGCGTTAATCGAGCGAACTCTACTGATATTGTCAAGGACAAGAATAGTGGTAAATGTAACGATTGTGCAAAAGCAATCCTCATACCATTTAGAATTCTGTAGGAACAAGAGAGAAAGCTCATAAAGGATAAATAAAAGGATAAAGCTCTCGACGTTAATCAATCCCTGAGAAATGCGCCTTGCATTCGACTTCATTAATTATCGTTGGAGGTGGATGAATGCATATCTGGCCTTTACAATGACTCTCGATGCCCACCTATGCATCGAGCCAGTGCTGCTATCCCCCCAGACAAATATGGTGTCAATTTGATGGGCCATGGACGAGGTCGATTCCACGTGTGTATCGCAGTGGCGCCTCCAACCACTGCCCCACACGCGCTCCTCGGACAGAAATAGAAGTAGAAAGCTCATATGGAACAAAAACTGGTCGATTACCTCTGTGTGGCCGATCTCCACCAAATCAATGGAAGACTTACAAACAACAAAACGGTGGGTGCGTCTCGCAGTAATTCCCACGACCGACTTTCTGTTAACCTCGGCATTGATCAAATAATTCTTTATATCCTTGTTGAGCAAATACGAGGTGTTACTTGTATTCTATTGCTATAATAAAGCATATTATGTTATTAAACAACACCTAGTGTTTGCTCAACAAGAATATGAAGAAAACAGTGGGTGTTTTAAAAAAAACTGTTTCTTATGCGAATGAAAATTTATGAGCTACGTCTCACCTGCTGCGGTTATAAAAGTGCTTAGATGAATAAGCTCTCTGTCAATATGACCTACGCAAGCTCTGAAGAACGAAACAACAGCAAATGTGTACGAAAAATGCTGCAAGAACAACCTCCTACTTGTTCATAAAACAACAACGAATCATTGGTCGATGCCGAGGTTAAAAGTCCGTCCTAGAATAAGCCGATTAGATAAAGCGCACTCTTAAAGGTACGGAAAAATCTTGGAAGTAGCCATGAAACGATGACTCGACACAACGTCACTTTCACGCAACAATGCGGACTTTTTAACTCGAAACTTACAAATTCGTTGCACTTTCATAGAAAACACATTTCGAATTCCCTATACTTCGCTGTTCGTCAAGTTCAATGAGGTGCTTCTTTAAATCGCGAAGTGTTATTAAACGATTTCCTTACTCTTATTCTTACTGACAAGGGTTCCCCCCACCCGTCCAACGGGCCTCATCGTGGCTGGGAGGTGTTCGTGGGTGTCAGGCTGTGATGTACAGCGGGAGATTCGTCCCCTGGGCAGGGTCTCCTAAGCTGAGAAGGATTCCGGCGTTTCCATCAGGAAGGCCGGCTAAGAGTAAACCAATACCAGGATCCATAACCATCCTGGTTTAAAACAGTCGTGCGGTGGCAAGTCTACCTCTGATCCACAAGGATGGCGACTCCTTGTGGTGGTGACAACATGGGGCAAACCTTAGCCAAGCTGATCTCCGCACTCCAGGGAACCACAGTGGTTAAACAAGCAGAGATCCGAAAAGTGGAAATTATTATGGGATCTGCGCAACCAGTGAAGACGGGCCATCCAATTATCCAAGTAAGGAGGTGACATGGGCATTGTGCTGTGGGATCTGTGTGTTCTCCTCCAGGTTGATTTCGAGTAAGAACTAGGCATCTTGCGGGTTCAAACCCAAATTAAATCCACAATTAGTGAAGAAGTTAACTCAAAAATACAAAAAGTAAAGTATCGATAGAACTAGCTGAGAGACATGCAAGAGGAAGGACCCGGATGGTGTGGTGGTGAAGTGTGCTGCTCTCCGGTAAGGACAACAGCGCGGGTTCGTTCCCCACCGCATACACCTGAGGTCCGGAGTTTTACAAATATCTCAGCATTATATACGAGTTATATTTTGCAACATACCCTGCCATTAAAAAGAAAAAGGCAGTAAATAAAAGGGTTGAAAAAGTACTGTGATTTTTTTTCGTACAGACATCATGGCAGATCATTTTGATGGAATTCTCATGTGCTTTGGACTTGTTGTTTCACGATTGTTAAATACATCAGTCCTATTTATCTGTGACAACATGAACGTCTGTCTGTACTAACATAGGAATTTTAACGATGCTGAGATATTTGCAAAACTCCGGACCGCAAGTGTCTGCGGTGGGAAGCGAACGTGCTATTACCCTTTTCCGGGGACTAACGCGTTCACCACCACACCATGCGGGTCTCTCGTTTCGCCTTTCTCTCAGCCAGTTTTCTATCTACCAGTACCATGAGCAATACGAATTTTTCATCTTTCGCTTCTAGTTTCAAATAAATGGGAAACGATTCAGAGAACCTGGATGTATCTAACACCTGCTCTTTCATTTCTGTTTTTAATGTGTCTGTTTATTTTACCATAGTGACGGGTGATTACTGATAGCACTCATAAGTCAATAACACGGTTAAGAGAAAGTCGAAACGGAGGACCCGCATGGTGTGATGCTGAATGCGTTAGTCCCTGGAAGTGGTAAAAACGTGTTCGATCCCCACCGCAGACGCCAACGGTCCGGAGTTTTGCACATATCTCAGCATCATTATGGTTATGCTTTTCACATAATACCCTGCCGTTAAAAAACAGTAGGCAATAAAGAAAGTGTGACTACATTTTGTTTAACAATTTTCAGCAGCTAAGCTCAACAATTTGAAAACATTCTGTTTATTTATTTATTCATTTGTTTGTTTGTTTGTTTGTGTATTTACTGCTAAATGAAGACAGGCTTTTGACTCACCGCCACCATAGTATGGAATTAATGGTGGGAAAGCGGTGTCCATGGTAAAGTGATAGTGATGCCGATCACCACTAGCACAGCATTGGTTCGATCTCATTAAGCATCTCACCTCCATTGTCGGAAAATTGGTACCAGACATCTCTGAGAAAAACTCACTGCAATCCAAGTGAGAATGCTCTAGCCCGACAATACTAGGAATCCAGGGAGGATCTACTTGACCATCGTTCAGCGGCATTCATGACGAAATGGAAATACTCAAGCAGCAGCCGTAGCCGCACATAAAACATTGGAAGACGTCCGTGGATGATGTATGCGAGGAGACGAATCGAATGGGAAGTCCTGGGATCCGCTCGATGGATGTAAAAGACGGGTCGTGTAAAAAAAGTGACGTCCGAATTTTTTTTATTATGCAGTCCCTTTATTTATGAAGGGCGAATAATGGCCTAGTGGCCGGAATGACACGTTGGTCGATTGTTGTTCCTTTTTTGAAGGCATGAACTGCACGCACCTCTCGTAACCCATATGACATCGCTAGAAAAGAAAGGAATGTAAAGAAGTAAATGAGTTCGCAAACGTCTATCTCGTCCAAGAGTGTACTAGAAGGTCTTCAGAAATGCCTACTGATTGGCTTGTTTGTTGGGCGTTACTACCATGACCGGCATCAAAAACGATACCACGAATTGACCGAGCAGTTTTGGTAGCATTTCCATCTGTAGAAGCGCCGAAGAACGTCCTCGAAGCCTTTCAGATGAAACTGAGAAGTTTTAAAGAGACATGTGCGTTATATAACGTAAAACTGTTCCCATTTCGTTAATAACGGAATTGAAAGCATCACAAAGATTCTTTGGGGCGTTCAATAACGTTGTGGTCTTTCATCATGCTTGCGTAGAGACCAGGCTTCTGATGCGCACGTTAAGGCGGGAGAATCGTGAAGTTGAAAACGAATGCACGGAGTTGAATGCTCCTTGTTTTCTCCACTACATCTTCGATGCTCTGGAAATCTCTCCAAACCGCTCGCCTCCTCCTGTTCAACTCTGGAGCTAAGTCGTTCATCACGTTGACTCCCCGACCTGGATAGACGTAGCTGAAGCATTTGGAGATATTCATTCCGTTAAGCGTGAATGGTACATAGCAATGCAATGCGTTCTTCATGAACACCGCTTTCGTGAGATTTAGTCTAAGACCAGTTTATTCATAAGCACTGTCAAAGTCGGCGAGCATTCGTTCCAGCCTTGTTGATGCTATAAGAACGATGTTATCATCAAATAGAAGACTGTCTAGTTGTAGACCATTGATTTGCAGTCCCACCTTGTCCCCTTTCATTGTTCACATGGCTTTCATGAGTGTGGCACTAAATAATTTTGGCGAGGTGGTATTGCTTTGCCGAACCTAAAATTTTACGTCGGTATTAATGTCGTTGTAGAATAGTGATATCTTGGTTGTGGAGCTTTTATACAGCTCACAAAGTTTTTAAGTGGACGAAATTGATCTGGAGCTCTCTGTTTTACTCTCGTGATATGACTAGTCTCATCATTTTGTGGAGTTGATCTATCGTACTGAATCTGCGTTACATCTCTGCTTGTTCATATGACCCTATAAAGGATTACTCGAGTCAAGAATTTATAGACGGCTGACAATGGACAGGTCGGGTGATGGTTCCCAAATCGTGGAGACCACGTGCTTAATACAAGAAAACGGTCTTGCTAGTCTTGCTGGCCTTCCTCCCTCACTAAGAGATCTCTAGTCCGCCAGTCGTAAATAAATGTGGCATGCGCGAAGCCTATGAGCTTCTAGTGTTGAACAGCACAGGACTTAGTCAGTGGTAATTGTGGAAAGTTTCTAGTAATTCCTCGTCATTGAGATGTTGAGAAAACAGAAATTTTAAAACAGATACCGAAGATTGGACGCAGAATGGCTCAACGTGGTAATCGCAGCAGGTTTAAACGTATTAGTTTCTTCGCAAATTAAAATTGAATCACCAACAGATTTTGTGTGGTAATTACGCACCAAATCTCACAAATTGGTAACCACTGATGATCGTGCGTCTACCGCTGCCTCAATCTTTAAAGTTATACCTATCATGATCTGTGCAAACAAGCCCGCTGATAGAATAGCTTCGCTCATAGACCAGATAGTCATCCAGTTGCCTGAACCCGTCTAATTTCACGGTTACACAAATGCTCTTAGATCGCCTACGCAGCGCGCGTCCAAACATCGCGTACATGATGGAGTCCCTGCACGTTACCGTACTTTATACAAACGTGTCGAATAACTCCGCAATGCATACCATCCGCTAGCTCCATATGCAACACATATAAGAAATAAACATTTATGGTTTCTCGATTGAGCTGCATATTGCACTATTAAAGGAATGCCTGATCTTCTCAGTATTTAGATGGTGCGAGAAATACTAGGCACGAATGAGAGGGTTATCATTGAAACAGCGACTGGCACCAACCTGCGCCATTGCCTTTACGTCAACGGTGGAAATACCAGTTGTCGAACTCCGGCCATTAGTCTACCGTGGATTTGTAGATGATTATTTTGTCATCGCTTCTGCATAGGAGAAGATGTGCAAATGTCTTGAACTGATAAACTAGACGACAGAGCACATAATTTTTTTCGAAACTGACTTTCCTTGAACCTCGGTATCACCAGTCAATATGTATTCCTTCTTTGACGAGCTTACACGAGATTGATAATGATATTTATTTATTATCGGCTAACGTTTCGACGTCTTCGTCTTCCTCAGAGCCGGTGATCCGAGTCGATGGTCCATGCTTGTTGTTCGTCTCGACGTTGCAGCTTCGCCTTCGTGTCGAGTCAGGTCTTCCTCAGAGAGCCATGTTCTCGAGTGAGGCATCCTCACTCAGTGATGTCCTTTTATGAAGAGCACATAAATTTTACCCGAGAGAAACCGACACCCAATTGCTAAAATTGGAGTTAAAACAAATACTTCACTAACCGCGCAAAGGACATAGAGGCATAACGAAGAACATTTCTAAGTATAGGTTATCATCCTCACAAAGGAATCGAAAACTTAAGCGCAGAGAACTCTCAAAGCATTTTGGATAAATTCCTACAATCCAAAAAAGAACCGCAGGGAGGAATGGTTCGTTATCACACATGATCTCACATAGTACCTCAGAACGGCTTTTTTTTGTATCGCGAGGGAGGTACATTACCCATCCACGTGAATGCTGTGTAGTTCGTCTACACGTAGAAGGCTCAGTGGAAGACCCTTAGGAAATGGCGAGTGTATGAACAAGCTTCAATTCAATTGAAATCTAGGCATCTCAGTCCTGCTGCTGAGGTCATGGAGGTATCTGGATGACTCGTCAACTTGACTTTTCCGTGCTTTGAAGAAGACGAAATCCTCCGAAAGATCAGCCTTTGTGAACAAAGAGTGTAGCAACAACCTCACATATGCTTATCAAGAAAACAGCGAAGTGTAAGCAATATTTTTGAAAGCCGACTTGGATTTAACCTCGGCATTAGTCATGGGTACTTTGTTGTACGGACGCGTGTGGTGCGGTGGTTGGAGGCGCCACGTGGAATCGATCTTCGCGCTCATGGCCCACCAAGCCTTCCATCACTGCGCGGTCGACAAGTTGGCACCAGACTTATCTCGGAGGATAGTAGCACTGGCCCGATACATCGGTAGGCCGTCGCGACTCACTATAGAGGTCAGATATGCCTTTAATCACCTCCAACGATGATTAATTAAGCCGAATGCACGGCACATCCCTTAGGGATTGATCAGCGCCAAGGGCTTCATCCTTTTTTAATATTATTTAAATTATAATTACTATAGCGGACTGAGGTTATCGTATATAGCGTGTGAGTATAAAAAGTGCTTAAATAGAGATGCATAGATTACAAAACTCTTTCGAAACACTGACAGAAATACAACTAAGATGATGCTGAGATATTTGCAAAACTGCTAGGTCAGTCCCTTAGGGTGATTGCTGATGGCGCCGATCAATAAAATTAGCTAAGAGACAGGCGAAACGAAGGACCTGCTTGGTGTGGTGGTGAACGCGTAACTCCTCGGAAAGGGCAGTAGCGCGTTCGCTACCCACCGTAGACACCTGCGGTCCGGAGTTTTGCAAATATCTCAGCATCATCTTAGTTCTACTTCACATGACACACTGCCTTTAAAAATTATACTAGGCAGTAAATAAAAAGGTTAAACTGCTGACAGAAATGTTTTTTATGATAGTTTATAGCAACACATTGTAAGTAACACCATGCATACCATCCACACGCATTGAACAATGGAACAAAGTCTTCCCTGGATTCCCTTCATGTTTACAACCCATCAAATCCTTTAGTTATCGAAAAATTATTTGTTGTCACGAAGCCAGCAAGTCCGTAAACGATGAAAATTAGGTGCCCTCACGAATGTGTTGGAGGAACATATCCCAACACATGCTTAACTTTATTAATTGAACTAGGACTTTTAGAAAACACAAATCCTTGTCGACGACATATAAGAAGCTTTGGTATGCCAGCATAATGAAACTCTAATTCTGTAGAACACATGGAACGCACCTTCGTTTTTTCAAGCAAATGCTCGTATTTTGAACACCGAAGCAATTGAACAAGATTTCATCCGTTTTTTTTTGAGGAATTTAGTCCAGAACAATTTTAAAACCCAAAGGCTACTAATTCTTCGTATTTTTGTTGAGCAAACGCGAGGTGTTATTATTCTTTATTCACGAATGAGCTGACGTTTCGGCGGATTTCGCCTTCCTCAGAGCCGCTTTCTATGAGGCCTCCACTAAGTATGTCACGTAGAGACCAATGTGCCACATTATACTTCCATGTGATTTCTGTGCGGTCTCTACGTGACATACTTAGTGGAGACCTCATAGAAAGCGGCTCTGAGGAAGGCGAAATCCGCCGAAACGTCAGCTCATTCGTGAATAAAGAATAATAACACCTCGCGTTTGCCCAACAAAAATACGAAGAATTACTTGATCAATGCCGAGGTTAATAGAAAGTCGGTCGTGGGAGTTACCAAAGGCTACTTATCAGAATTCGTATGCACAGATGAGAGAGAGGATTAGGTAGTGGTTAATGATGCAGTTCATCAGGAAATAAGGTGCCAGTTCGATCGCTTCTTAACGATGTCCACATCATCCTCATACAATCCACATGGAAATGTTTTATTTGGCTCGGCTCTCTCCAAGATTGCAAGATTTGACTCGACCAGCATTCTACGACATTCCTAAGAAGACGAAATTCTCAAGCAGAACCGCATCAACAAACCAAATGTTCGAAGATTTTGTCGAGGAGGAGCGAGAAGAATACGAATGGAACGTAAAAAGAGCTGGGATATCACACAGTAGATGTGGTGATGAGTCATGCAAAAAGAAGAAATTCGTATACATGTACTCTAACGGTTAATTTAAAAAAGGATAAAGCTATCGGAGTTGATCAATCCCTGAGGGATGCGTCATGCACTCGACTTCATCAAGTATCGTTGGAAGTGATTGAATGCCTATCTGACCTTTACAATGAGTCGCGGTGGCCTACGGATGTAGCAAGCCAATGCTGCTATCCTCCCAGACAAGTCTGGTGGCAATTTGCTGATCCCGGTTGGATGAAGGCTTGTTGTGGCCATGGGCATGGCGATCGATTCCACGTGTGTGTCACAGTGGCGCCTCCAACCACTGCGCCACACGCATCCTTGCTACTTCTTACGGTTACAGAGCAAAATCTCTTCCATAAGTGAGCAAAGTTCTTAACTACTCAGCTACTTACTAGTGGAGAAATTATCATGTTTTCGAAAAATAAGCTTTGTCGTGAATGTGTAGAAGACGACTCGTCCTAGTACCTATAACCTTCTTATCTTTTGTAGACATTTTTGTAGTGAAATTCTAAAGCCCATTTCAAACCACCACTGCTTCCAGTGAATGACTATGGCCATCCAACAACCGTTATGTAAATTTTACCTATTTTCTTAATCTTCTTTAAAATAAATCGTATTGGAGATACTTCATTTCTTTAAAAAGCACACAGTTCCAATTGAAATTATTAGGGTTTGGTTAAACTAGGACACATGTTACCCAAAAATTAGCCTGTACAAGTACTTCAGTCGGGTGTGACATAAAGGTAAGAAATCTCGAATAAAGAGAGTTTCAGAAAGAAAGGACGTAGCAACAGTGAAGATCATGGTGGAACTACTACTGGTTATAAAATACCCGGAATTATACCAGGAAACTATGAGAAACATGAAACTATACCTACAATTAAACCAGAGAACGGTGAGAAATATAAACCTTGGCGAATGTCAAGCCATAAGCACAATGAAAGGAATGTTATGAATACATCGCATAAAAATGAAAACAAAGTGAAGGGCCAGCAATAACTCTATGAGAGATACACGATCAGAACTGAGTTAGAAGTTTTTTGAAACTTTTTCTTGCAAGACAAGTACTTGTACCGTCCTCAAAGTTGCTTGAAGTGAATTTTGAAAAGCCTGGAGAGATGTTACAGTTCTAGGGCCATTACAAAGGATGAGGAGCTGGCCGGAACGTCTGCAATATTGAACCCCGAACGCTCGCTACCGTATCCACTGGAGGCGATCGGTACTCATGTGAATTAAACGAAAAACCTGAAAATAAATGCTGAGATAAGAAAAAAACGAGTGGAGAACTTCGTAAATTTTCAGCAGTTTCCCAAATCATATATTCATAGCTTAAGATACTATATTTTGTTCCAGTAGTACCATCTGCACAACTGTTAGCTCCGTTAGCACAACGACGTCTTGACACCAATGCGAACATAGGGTGGGAAACAGCCCCTTCTGGCACAATTTTTTATTAACTTCTTATTGCCTTTTCGTGCAAGGATTCTGTGAAATACAGCCGCAATGATGCCGAGATATTTGCAAAACTCAGAGTCCAGGCCAAATTCGAAAACGCGATCCTTTCCGGTGACTCACATATTACCCATTGCACCACTGAAACCCTCGTTTTGTCTTTCTCTCAGCCAGATTTTAACCTTAACGGTGCTATCAGCAGCCATCTGTCAACGGAAGTGGACTGCGGAGCAAAAATCGACATTGAACTTAATTAAGTTGAGGCTGTAGTCGAAGTCACAATGTAAACATCGTTGGAGCAAGACAGAACATCTCAAGCGGATTCGAATGTGACCTGGGGTCTACGTTTTGTAAATATCGAAAAAAATCTCAGCATCATCGTGGTAGCCTTAATTTCCTTTTGTCATATAAATTTTTTTAAACTGCTGTTTCCTAGTCAACCAATAGCTTCTATACCACAGACGTGGTATTACGCGTAGGCCAAGAGATGGAGTGTGCTCATCAAAGAATTAAGCCCAAGCAGACGAATAGCGACAAGAATGTCACGTGAAAAACCTTTTTTTTTCTTTCAAATGAAACAACATCGATGGCTTTGTACGCTAGGATGTAACACGCTGGGTATGTATAATTAGCTTGTCAAACGGGTCCTGGAGCGCAGAACTTATCTGCTGGAAAAGCTCGCATCTCCTGAGTACTTTCTGGTCGTTTAACACCTTGACTGAATCACCGCATATTGGTAAAAACATTTACGCATCTATGCATTAAAATGCTTGCGATTATTTAGCAGCGTACCATGCGCAATGGGTGAAGGTGGTCTCGATTGATAGTCGTTGTTTCGATCCCGCATCTTAGACTGACCAGCCCATCACCATCCCTCCGGGGTCAAAGGATCCAGAAATAATCCAGGAGGATCAAAATTTTGACGTGAAACATCGACAGGCCTACGTATGCAGACTAAATATGTATTCATCCACCTCTACGATGTTATGAATGGAGCCAAATGCATGGTGGATCCATACAAGAAAGGTTTCGTCCTTATCCTTTATCTCAAGGCAATTATTAGAGATGGGGCTTCAATAATTGAGCTATTAAAGTATAAGCAATGAAGGAAATTATCCCACGAAAACAATATGCATTAGTGCTATAATTCGAAACAAAAAAAATCCCTTACGATCTTATGATTTAGGACATGGATTTTGTAGGTATGGAACAAAACAGAAAAACAAATTAGGACCAACTTCGTGGATCGCTTTCGAATCCGCTAGTTGGTGGCGTTGGACTGAACCGTGATGACTCTTCCTTTTCCTCTTCAATCACTGTCAGCCGATCATCATCATTATTCATTTTTTTCGTGTGAATTGACGACGGTGAAAAAGAAGCACATTGTGGCTGAAGAACGACATTCAACAAGAGAGAATTATTAACCAGATATATTGTTACTACTTATTGATTTTAGGTGAAAATCTTTAACCTGATCTTCTTAACATAACATTCGTGTTACATGAACCTGTACTTTTCAAAGGAAAACAGAAAGCTAAGCAATACACAGAGAAAACTGTTCAATCGCCAAAAAGATAGTATACAGCCATAATGAGCAGGTCCCAAAGATCAATACTAATCTCGCGTCTCAAAAAAGATTTTTTCAAAAAGTTTAAAAAATAAAAGAACTGGAATGAATTCATCTTATTTGTTACACCTCCGAACGGTTTACCGCCTCATCGTAGCTGGGAGGTGTTCCTGGGTGACTGGCTGGGCTTTCATCAGGAAGCCTAGCTAAGAGTAAAGCAATACCAGGATCCGCCACCGTCCTGGTATCAGAGTCGTATAGTGGCAAATCTCCCTGTGATCCACAAGGGCTGCGGCTACCTGTGGTGGTGAAGACCTGGGGGAGACTTTGGCCAGACTGCTCTCGGGATTCCAGGGAACGACAATGGCTCAATCAGCAAATCTCCGATAAATGGTGATTATGCTGGGGCCCGTGCAACCAGTGAGGACGGGCCATTCAAGTGTCAAGTGTATTTGTTACAGATCTAGAAAAGAATAGTAAGAAAACCGACGAGAAGAACAGTGAGGGCGAATGTAACACAGTTGTTAAAATACAAAAAGAGTACTAAGTTCGATCCCAGGCTTGTTTAGAAGGACAAGACAACACTGGTTTGATATCCTGGTATGTCTCCGTAAGTCAACGTATAGATCAAAAACGCATTCGATCACTTCTTCAACGTCACGAATGGAGTTCAATGCAAGAGGCCTCCATGTTATGGAGTTCTAGTTATGTACCATTACGGCTTCGTGATTTAAAAAAATACTCGATCAACATAAATTCAAACGATCGCCACCAATAAACGCTTTGATGAGCGTGGCGTAACAGTAGATGCGCGTGCATTGCGTTGCGTCACCTAACTAGAACCAACCTAGAAGCCCCATAATTACTACGATTAACATAGTAAATGAAAGATACGGTTGACGATAACGAAAACCTGAACGGTCCAAATGAGCGATTTTAGTGCAAAACAGCTGAGCACTTCCGGAAACCTTAAAGTCATTCAAATATTCTCATAGCATTGTTTTACATAGAAATCTCAACTAAGCAGTAAGCAAACTCATTAAGATAAACTCCGACGTACTCGATTAGCAACAATATTGTTACGGTGAAAATGAAAAATAGTGCAGCTAACAAGTCACAGATCACAGATCAAATTGCCTAAATAGATTAAAGTGCCCAAGTACTAGTCGACTAAACGCATTGATTTCAATGCGTATGGCAGACAACTGGTTATAACTTTTAAGTAGCTTGTCTCAGATGATATTTAGCTTTATTAATTCCAACAAAAAATAACGGAACTTGAAGACCTTGTCTTCTATTATTCTACTAAGGTCAAATTCTGATTTTTAGAAGAGCTCATCAAACGTATTTTGCAACTCTTTTGTTGTTCGAGTTCGCAAACGGGATTTCAACCAGCACGGTATAACTGTACTGCTCAATTCGTCGGTGGTTCTGAACTTTCCGGTAGAAAATTTTAGAATTCAAATTTTGTTTTTGATTTGTAGAAAAGTCCAATTCATGACAAGTGTTAATTTGTGCTCCAAAAACTTTATGAATAAAGTGAAAAAACTGAACGAGTAGATAGCATCTTACACATTGCTGAGGTTCTACGACCTCCCAAACAACGACTTCCACCGTAGCTACTTTAATTTAATTACTTACTTGATACCTGAACGATCCGTCCTCACTAGTTGTGCGGGCACCAGCATAATTACTATTTTTCGGAGATTTGCTGGTTAAACCATTATGGTTCCCTGGAATCCCGAGGACAGCCTGGCCAAAGTCTGCCCAGGTCTTCACCACGACAGGCAGTCCCAGCCTTTGTGGATCAGAGGGAGATTTGCCACCATGCGACTTGATTCCAGGACGGTGGTGGATCATGGTATTGGTTTACTCTTAGCTAGGCTACCTGATGGAAACGACGGAGTCCTTCTCAGCTTGCAAAATCTTGCCGGAGGACGAATTCCCTCGCTGTCATAACTTACTGCCAATTATTTTTCCGTCCAAAGCATTATGTGGTGCACTGGATAGCTTGTGAACCTACGGAAGATGTAGTCACCGGTTCTCACCTGGTGCTCTGAATTTTGCTCATATCTCAGCATCATTATGGATTAATTCAAATCTCCCCAGCCTTTAGTTGCTCTACTAAGTCATGGTCCTACCCGTAGTTAATTAGCGCAACACTTACGCAACTGCATCAAACAGCCTGATGTGCGGGATGGTTGGGGTTATGTGATCCGATGTCACCACGTTCACAAGATGGCTACAATGTCACTTAAGCTCCTATTAAATGTCACCCATCTGTATATGGTTTCTTCTAATTGAGATGTAAAGTCATTTGAGCTCCAGCTAAATGTTACCCACCTGTTTATAGAACTTTCTGTTGGATTTGTTTGCACGTGAAATCTTCACAAATACATGGTGCACAAAAAATACAATACCAACTCCGACAACGACAAAGAAGATCACCATCACCATCGTAAGCAACAACATCGACAGCGATGATGAGACTGAATCGAAAAATCGCAGTTTCCATGACGAAAAGAAGTCTCTATTTAGAGCAATAACTTATTGATACACGCAGTTCGAACAGAATTCCGTACATAACCTGCTGGTTTGATTGGTGACAAACAAGTTATAAAATGAACGAAAAAAATACTAGTGGAAAAAGCGTATTGATGTCCTACCTCCTAATCTGGTTGCACCACATTCGTCTATGAGCACCTCCTTATTGAATGTTGAGTTCATAAAACAAGTGATTTGTCCTGTTCGTTCCGTTAAAATGCATGCCTAGGCAAAGCACGTTGGAACATCTATACATTTGTACAGCATACTCTACGGTATTGGGATTTAGAACTTCACCAAAGAGTTCACACACCTTTTGAAACACTAAAAATAACAAAAATCTTAAGGTGAAAGTTACCTTGGCATAATACTTCTCAGGTGAGTGCTCATAGAACTGTACATTCAGCTTTAGCGGCCAATGCTCCGTACCAATACTTCGTGAATCAACACTATGGCCTCCGGCCAAAAACGTTGATACTGATCGAACTTCATGCTGAAATCAAAGATAAGGTCACGTTAGACTGGTAAACTACCTAATACTATCAATAACAAAAGTGTTCCAATCTTTAATCGCCGTCTATTCGTTTATCATGGAAGGGATGCTGAGATATGGACAGAACTTTCCAACCTTATTTAATTACCATTGCAACAGTATTGAGTGTTCCCTTTTTTGGTATTTGTTATAATCCTTTAGTCTTCATCGTAATGAGTGCTCTTAACCTAAACTTGCACTGGACGCAATAATACGTAGGCGAAAATCGCGTGGAGGTTTCCGCGGTAGTGTATTGCAGATGTCTCCTGGTGCCAAGCTCCTGTTGGGATTCCTGTTTTATTCCAATTTGTTTGTCTTTGCTTTATTCTATTCTATTAAAAAGGAGCGTGTGTGGCGCAGTGGTCGGAGACACCCTGCAACACATACGTGAAATCGATCCCCGCGCCCATGTCTCACCACGCCTTCCATCCCTCCGAGGTCGGCAAATTGATACCAGACTTGTCTGGGAGGATAGCAACACTGGCTCGATACATCGGTAGGCCACCGCGAGTCATTGTAAGGGTCAGATGTGCATTCAATCACCTCCAACGATACTTAATGAAGTCGAATGCATGGCGCATCCCTCAGGGATTGATGAACGCCGAGAGCTTTATCCTTTATCCTATTCTATTAAAATTTTTCAAACTCCAGATGAAAAGCCTAAGACAGAAATAATACTTTAGAAAAAGGGCTCATATGCACACTCAAAACGGTAAGAGAAAACCTGTTTTATGAGTTTATGAAGTTTTTCAATTACCGAAAAACCAGCGGAGCATCGTTGTGGATATGTTAAGTAGTCTTTACAGGGAACTTTCCAATCACTGTCTAATATTCCGAAATGGACTATCAAGGATCACATAACTAACGCTGATTTGTTTAAAAATGCCCTTAATGAAGCAATGTACCACAGTGCCATATTATCTACTGCACATAGAGGGAATATAGGCTGAACGTACTTCATTACACCGTTATATATTCAAACATAATAATAGTAAAACCTACCGAGAACTGGCTTCCTTTCTTAAACATCCAAATAAAGCTCTCAGAAAGTGGCTATGTAACAAAATGGTATCGTAACAATTCGGACTCGGCAAATTGGTACCAGACTTGTCTGGGCGGATACCAGCACAGGCTCGATACATCGGTAGGCGACCGCGAATCATTGTAAAGTCCAGACATTCATTCAATTACCTCCAAACGATGTCTAATGAATTTCTTTTTATACTGAAAATCCATAACAACGTTCAAATAACTCTTTTCTCGTTTCTTCATGGTTATAATAATGAATCTTAGCTGGCGATTCCCTTCGTCCGGAGTACTTAAAGCATATGGCAAAACGAACAAAAGACTAACAACAACATATGCGTTTTGTCTCATCATAGTAATGAATGGAACACAATGGAAAACACTTGACACTCTTAGGCATGCATAAGAGTTCTAGCTTAATCTTAGTTCCAGTTTCGTAGTAAATCGAAAGAACAAACTATAGATGGTCCATCTTGTTTTTGGGGACAATGCTCAACACATATTTTTTATCCCTAGCTACTTAGCCTTTCCGACATTCTAAATTACCATTCTATAAGCAGTTCTATATCCAGAAAACGAAATAAAGTCTAACCAAATCCACGATCTCTATACCACAGAAAAATCCTGTTTGTTTACCCACGAGGTTTCGATCTATGAACATAAGTGGTCTTGAAGCTCGAGACTTCATAACAGCCTGCTTCACTTCGCGTTTATTCTATTATTCCACATAATTACTCACTTCTTACTCGTAAATTCTCTTTATTTCCCATCAATGAACTTCTACATAATGATGTTTTAAATATTTGTTTTCACCAAAAGTTTTCTGCTCCCATTTATTATTCACGTCGTTTTTCATAACTATTGCTTTTTAAGAAATAGTTGAATGGCTCGTTCTCACTGGTTGTGCAAGCCCCAGCATAATCTCCAATTTTCGGAGATTTCCTGGTTAAACCATTGTGGTTAACTGGAATCCTGAGGTCAGCCTGACGAAAGTCTGCCCCAGGTCTTCACCACCACAGGCAGTCGCAACCCTTATGGATCAGAAGGAGATTTGTCACCATGTGACTTTGATACCAAGACGGTGGTGGCTCCTGGTATTCGCTTGACCAACAAGAATCAAAAATGTATTAATAAATATTTAGTCCATTCATACAGTCAACCGACTGTAAATTCAAAATTCTGAATGCGTCGTTTTCTCGTTCAGCAATCACGAGGTTTTTAAACAGCATACATTTACTTCCATAAAGAAAACACAATACAATACAACGCTAGCTGACGTTTCGGCAGTATCACCTTCTTCACAGCCTGGAAGGGTATACTGATATACAATCTACTAGGCCAAACGCTTCAATAACACTTACAAAAAGACGAAAGACTCTTTGGTAATTACACGATCAACAACTTCTCGAAGAACCCACTGCTTTTTCGTGACCTCCAATGAGGAAGTTTAGAACGGCTGATTATAGTCGCATGTGGTTGATGACTGCACCATCCCACATCAAAAATCGATGCGAACGTACGGGATCAGGTCGCGTATGACCTCCGGGCATTCGTCCCTGCTATTCATTGTAGGGTTTTTGGCATTGATCCAAAAAGCGTCAAAGAGTTTTCGCGCTGGTGTTTTAGTTTCCTGTGCAAGGATATTGACTTTTACTTCAAAATCGTCTCCGCTATGCTTTTGTATCCTATGCGTGCCTAGTGGGGTGCTTCGTCTTAGTTTTCGTTTGCCATCTAGGTGTTCTTTTATTTAGGTGTCCTCTATAAAAGAACACCTAGATGGCAAACGAAAACTAAGACGAAGCACACCACTAGGCACGCATAGGATACAAAAGCATAGCGGAGACGATTTTGAAGTAAAAGTCGATATCCTTGCACAGGAGTCCAAAACACCAGCGCGAAAACTCCTAGAGGTTTTTTGGATAAATGCCAAAAACCCTACAATGA